AAAAGGAACAATGAAGTTGAACTACATACATTCAATATACATTTGTGGAGCAGTGTTCTAGGTACTGGTCACACAGAAAGATAAACCTAACATCTGACTTCATGGGATTTACTTTGAAGCTGGAGATTCAGGCAATGAACAAAAAAAAAAGTATGTAAAATTATTTTGGATTGTAATAATGCTAATAAGAATCTAAAATAGGGTCCTGGAATAAAAGTTGATGCAGAGGGTACTTCTTGGCCAGCAATGTACAGGAAGACCACTTTGAGGAGGTGCGACATTTGAGGTGAGATCTGAGTGAAGAGAAGGTGGCAGTTACAGTATCTGGAGGAAACAGCCATCTAGATAGAATGAGAACAGGCAGAGCAGCCCCGAGGCCTATCTGATCTTGACACATGAAAGGCCAAGGCAGAGGTGAAAGGCAGTGTGGGACGCAGAGCAGCTGTAAGGAGATAGGTGAGAGACAGCAAGCGGACTTTTAGAACCAGGCCTCCCTATCTCTCTTCCTCATCCCCCATCAATTTTGCCCTGCACTCTACTTTCTTGGCATACTGAATTTTTGTTGCTGTTCTCCAAGCAGGCTGTTTTTTATATGTATGTATGTATGCATGTATATATTTATCTCTTTCAGACAGGGTCTCACTATGCAGTTCATGCTGACCTTGAGCTCACTTTGTAGCCCAGGCTGGCCTGGAACTCACAATGATCCTCCTGCCTCAGCCTCCCGAGTGCTGAGATTACAGGCGTGCACCACCATGTCTGGCTGGGTTTTTTTTTTTTGGTACCGGGAAGTGAACTCAGGACCTTGTGCTTGCCAGGCAGGCGCTGTGTGGCTGAGCTATAGCCCCGGCTCCTGGCTGTTCTTTTTCAGTCTCATGCGTTTTTGCATAGGCTTTTCCTTCCAGCTGGAAGGCCAGGCTCTAACTATTCTGTCCTTGGTAATAGAATTTCCCTGAGTTTTAGCAGGGCTTATTCTTAGAGCCTCCTACCCAACCTGGACCCCCTGCCTACTTCTGGGCCTATCTACTGGACACAATGTATGTTGAGTCCCTTTATTATAATAGCTTAGGCGCTACCATTACTTTCTCTCATTTGCCTAATGAACTCTTATTTTTATCTTTTAAGATCAAATTCCAAGTCCACTTTTCCCATCCTCCCCCAGGAAAAATTTTCTGATACTCACAGATGACTTTCTCTATGTCCCTGTGATATTTTGTATGTACAGTTATCATAGCATTCTACTCGGTTAATAAGCATCAACTAGAAGCCTAATATACGTCATGGGCCGTGGTAAATAAATAGTCTGTAGTCTATAAGGAGAGACAACATGTGGTGAAATAACTGTGAAGTAGCCATAGTACATTCTCTGTGAGTGCTGAGTTGGAGTACAGACATCCCTCATTCATTCTGCCTTCTCAACTCCTACATCCAATTCTGTTTTTTGGTCTTTTGGGTTTTTTTCATTTTGTTTTTTGAGACAGGGTCTCACTATGCAGTTCAGGCTGGCCTTGAACTCATTATGGAACTCAGGCTGACCTTGAACTCACCGTGATCCTCCTGCTTCAGCTTCTTAAGTGCTGGGATTACAGGCATGCGCCACATCCAACTTTTTTTTTTTTTTTTTCTTTGAATACAGGGTCTCCATGTGTAGTTCATGCTGGCTGTGAGCTCACTATGTAGCCCAGGCTGGCCTCCAACTCTTGATGATCATCCTGCCTCAGCCTCCTGAGTGCTGGGATTACAGGTGTGTGCCATCCTACATCCAATTCTAGAGATATCTAGGAATTAATAAACCTGCGTAACCCAGATCTTGAGAGATTAACCCAATGGAAGGGAAAGGAGGAGGAAATCAGGTAGTATCAAGACAGAGGCTATAAGTCACACCAGCCTAAGGGATTAGATTCCAGCAGCAGAGATGGGAGCAATCAAGAGATAAAGCATTGTTCCTCCCGTGAGCCACAATAGGCAGCTGTTTGCGGTCACTACTGGAAATTTGGCAAGCTCTTGCAAGTCCATGCCCTACAAACCTTTCTTTTCAATGAACTAAGAGGAATTAGTAGTACAACTATCTTAACTATCTTGTGTATATATATATATATATAATATATATATATTTTTTTCTTTTCCCTTCCTTTTTTTCTCCTTTCCCCCATCCCAGTTTCCTTTTGAACAGTTTCTTCCCTTTTCACAATATCTATTATACATTTTGGATCTTACTCTTTTAGCTTCTCAAACTAGGGTCATTGCACTACAGAAACCCAAAAATAGAATAGCTGCAAAATAATTGGCTATTAAAGAACTCATTCTTGACTCAAGAGGTGCTGAGAGACTCTTAGAAATGTCTGAAAGACACTCTGAGGTAGAACTAATTCCTCCAAATAAGGAAGTGGGTGCTTATGCTAGAACAAGTTGAATAAAAAAAAGTTACTGAACAACTTCATTTAGCCATTACAGGCAAATGAGGCTGAGGGCATGCAGATTACATTTTGGGAGTTCTTTCTGGAATTATTTTTGTTTTTGTTTTTTGAGACAGAGTTTTGCTATAACTCAATGTGCAGCTCAGGCTGGCTTCAAACTCACAGTGATCCTCCTACCTCAGCCTCCCGAGTGCTAGGATTATAGGTGTGCACCAACTTGCCTGGCAAAGGTTATTATTAATGTTGTTAAAGTTTATATTTGTATCATGGACTCATCAGTACCTCTAGAAATAAGTCAATATTTAGGATAACGACCAAGATAACATCAGAACATTTGCAAAGAGAGTAGATGTAGATTTCTAGAAACCTCTACAAATTATGGGATTAAAAATAACTGGAAAAACCCTGAAATTGAAGAAATTATGCAAACTTTTGTTAAAAAGAGGCCAGAAAGGTCTTCAGGAGGGGAGAAAACATAGCCTTATTCAAGTTGGCTAAACATGGTAGTTTTCCAGGGGATATAAACTCACTGTGTAGTCCAGGTTGGTCTTTAAACTCAGGGAATCCTCCTGCCTCAGCCTCCTGAGTGCTGGGATTACATGCGCCATTACACCGGGGTGCACATGGCTTATTCAAACAAGATGCACTGTTGGATGTGGCAGATGTTCTTCTACATGCTTAAAATATATGACTTGATGCTTTTGTCTGTGTTCTTTCAGCACCCTCAAACTTTCTTAGGTCATCAGCTGTGCCACCCTCCAACTTTGAAATAAGATTTTTGCCAAAGCCTGAGTTGGGAGTTTTTTAATGTTTCACATTCTTGAATGTGTTTGGCATGCCAGGGCACTTATTAGTCCCAAATGCCACTAGAATTGGGGAACAGGTTATTGGGGACAGGTGAAAGGAAAGACTATTCAGTTCATACAGAGGCTTATGGAACGTGAGGGTATCTGGGACGAAGGTACCTCCTAGCGTGGGGACAGAAGCCCTTGGCTGGGGCACGCTACCGACATGCTGTGAGTGCTGGGTGCCAGGTATGGAGGAGGGATGGCAGAACACCTCTCTGTGGTAAGGGAAATTTTCTAGGCTTCTGTGTTAGCTGGCTGAGTGTTGAATATTCTGACAAAGCTAGCAGAGGCAATGTTTAAAACTACAGGGCTGATGGGTTGGGGTCTGTAGCTTTGGGATGGTGCTGCTGGAGAGCAAGTAGCTCCTGACTACGCTGACCAGGCTCCTCCAGAAGTGTTCGTTGTTGGGCAGTGTGTACATTACCCGGAAGGAAAATGATGGATGAATTAAACCTGTTCCAAGGAAGGGGTTTGAGCACTCAGATAACAAAAGTCTGTTGAGAGCTACTGATGAGAAAAGGAAGATCAGCATTATGATGAGCTCCAAAGAAGTAAGTTTATTTATTTATTTTTTTGTTTTGTTTTTCTTCCAGTACCAGGAATCAAACTCACGACCTTGTACTTGCCAGACAGGTGCTTTGCCGCTGAGCTAAATCCCCAGCCCCCTAAAGAAGTAAGTTTAAATGACTTTTTGTTGTTGTTACTGTTGTTTTTTGAGACAATGTCTTGATGTGTAATTTAGTCTGTCCTTAAACTCACTGTGTAGCTGGGCTTGATGGTGCACGCCTGTAATCCCAGCACTCGGGAGGCTGAGGCAGGAGGATCGTTGGGAGTTCAAGATCAGCCTGGGTTACAGAGTGAGCTCAAGGTCAGCATGAACTGCATAGTGAGACCCTGACTCAAAAAAGGCAAAAAAAAAAAAAAAATAAAAATAAACTCACTGTGTAGTCCAGGCTGGCCTTAAAACTGAGGCAATACTTCTGCCTCAGCCTCCTGAGTGCTGGGATTACATGCATGTGCCATTACACTGGGGTGCCGGTGGCTTATTCAAACCAGCTGAGCACTAATATAGATGGGCTGAAGAAGAGAGACAGAGCAAGGGGAAGAAGGGTAAAGCAGCACAGTGAAGGGCATTGAATTCTCTGCTTTTATCAATTACTCAATGAACTGCTATTTTTCTTTTTGTTTTTTTTTTTGCTACAAACTAGGTTTCTGGTTCCTCCACCAGTAACTGTTTTCCAATGTGATTAATGTCATTTTGGAGTGAGGAATGGTTGCAGTATTTGTGTATAGTATTTATTTTAGACCTGTGCTGCATGCTTGTGTATTCCTGGATTACAGCTTTTACATAGTTTTTATTTGTTTGTTTTCTTTTTTTTGGTACCGGAAATTGAACTCAGGACCTTGCGCTTGCCAGGCAGGCACTTATGCCTCTGAGCTATATCCCCAGCCCTTGGATTACAGTTTTTAAAAAGCCTCTTGACACTTATTGAAGAGCAATGTATCATTAAACATCTTTTTTAGAAAAACAAACAAAAACACCACAGGACTATTCAGATTTTTTCCTTTGTATTTTTTCCTTTGTACTATCAGGGAGAGAGAAGATACCTACTTCTGGGTCTGGGGATTTAGCTCAGCGGCACAGCGCCTGCCTGGCAAGCATGAGGTTGTGAGTTCGATTCCCGGTACTGGAAACTGCACCCCCCCAAATAAATAAATAAAAGAAGGTACCTACTTCTGAGTTGAGTCTGGAGAAACTCTTACAGAAGGCAGAGGAAACAGAAGCCAGAGGTCCAACAGTAGGAATCAGATCCCCTGTTTAACAGGAGAGGACTAGGGCTATTCATGGGTAAGGCTTTGGAGAGAATTCCAGTTGCCAGGGTGGTTGTTTAGATTCTTCCAACTGTTGAAATTAACCTGAGAAAAAGAGAAGGGAAGCAGCTGAAATCATGAAGAAAACTCAGTCAACATCAATGCCAGGCCTAAAAATACGTTCCTGAAAATCCTAACTACTCAAGAAGCTGAGGCTGGAGTCTGTCTCTCTCTCTCTCTCTCTCTCTCTCTCTCTCTCTCTCTCTCTCTCTCT